GTGGTTTAAGGAAAACCTGCAAGAAGTGGGGGTGATAACAGTATAATAAGGCTGTCTGTTTCCAGTGTGATTTCAGGTTTTGTTGTGCTTCAGGGTAGCTGCTGAAACATGAACATACCTCTTTAAGGAAAATAAACTTCTTTCCTTAAATATAATTTGATTCCTTGTCTCTTACTCTGTGATGCTATTTTGTTAGTAATTGTTTTTGCCACAACATAAGTAAAATGTATTATTAGCTCCAGCTTCCAAGCTCATTTGTGGAGCGCATTTTAAACCACATGGCTGGCTATTTTTATTTGATTTTCGAGCTGTGCAAAATTAAATTTGCTTCACAGCATAAACAGCTTCATGATCAATGCTAATCCAAATAAATCTTATTTCACACAAGTAGATCACAAATTAAAGCATAGTATTTTTGAGTTGACCAAGCTGTAATCCTTCTCTCCTGCTCAGGTGATGATGAGGAAGAGGAACCAGAGATCCCAATCAGCCCCAGACCCAGACCCATGGCCGACCTGCAGCTCAAGGAGACAGTGGTTCCCATGCCTGAGGCCAGCTCCTTCTTCATCTTTGGCCCACAGAACAAGTGAGGCTTTATGCCCTGATTTATAATACCATGCAGACCACTCAAATTAAATTTAGAACTAGACTTTAATTGTGCCTAACAAATGACCGCAAAATGATTTACTGTTGCTGTCTGATAACTGATGCTGTCTGTCGAAAGGTTCCGGAAACTTTGCCACAGGATCATCAACCACACGACCTTCACCAACATCATCCTCCTCTTCATCCTCCTCAGCAGTATCTCCCTGGCTGCTGAAGACCCCATCGACCCCCATTCATTCCGAAACAAGGTGGCAAAAACTTTGGTTATTGTATTGCTTTTTTAACTGAACTATTAGTTATCCGTTAAAAATTTACATTCACTAATTCCTTTCACAGGTCTTGGCCTATGCCGATATTGTCTTTACGACTGTCTTCACCATTGAAATTGTGCTGAAGGTAATGTGACCGTCAACTTGATGTTACTTTCAGATTTGTGGTTTGGCTGACATTTAATTCAGCACTGACCTGTGCATTTTTAGATGACGGTTTATGGAGCGTTCCTGCATACTGGCTCTTTCTGCCGAAACTCCTTCAACATTTTGGATCTCATTGTTGTGGGTGTTTCCCTCTTGTCCATGGGCATGGAGTAAGTTCAATAATATTTTATGGTGTTTCAGTTTTTTAGTATACATTACCCATCATATTAATGCTTTGACAAGATTATTTTTGTCTTCCACAAGGAATATATAAATTACAAAGACAACCCATTAAATAAAAAATATCAGTTAACTGTTCTCACACATGCATTATTCCACTGATGAACACCTACAGCATTTTTGTACGAAATTCAATATGTACAAACAGTGTGTGAACATATGTGTGAACAGCATAGTCCAATTAGCAAACAAATTACTCTTAAGAGCCTGTTCTTTTCGGGTGAATTAAAAACACATAGCACAACCAAATGTAGTTCAGATGATTCTTGAATAAATGACTCTTATGAGCCAGTCCTTTACAGTGAATCAAAAATATTTAGCCCGACTAATGTACAGTAGTCCAAGTGAGTCTCAAATCCATTCAGCTCGTTGAGTGTAGTCCAACCGATTCCTGAATGAATGACCCTTATGAGCCTGTTCTTTTCAATGAATCAAAAACACATAGTGCAACCAATACAGTTCAAACTTTTCTTGATTGAATGACTCTTATTAGTCAGTTCTTTTTAGTCAATCAAAAACATAATGCTCGACCTGTGTATTCCCATTTTCTTGAATGAATGATTCTTAATGAGCCTGTGCAGTGAATCAAAAACATATAGAGCGTCCAATGTAAAGAAACACATTGTGAAATTTGTTGGTAGTACTTTCTAAAAAAGAAATGAAATTAATCATACAAGTTAATATTTTTGTAAGTTTTAATTAAAATACAGTCAAGGCCACTAACTGAATTGCATTATTGGATTGCAGGTCGAGTACCATCTCAGTGGTGAAGATTCTCAGGGTGTTGAGGGTACTAAGACCTCTAAGGGCCATCAACAGAGCCAAAGGGTTAAAGGTGGGTATGCATTCAGCATCTTAATGAAAAAGCTGCTTTTATTTGTGATGTAGCATTTGTCTGTGTATTTAAATATGGATAGCTGCCATTGAAACTATAGTTTATATAGTATAGTATATAGTATAAAGTATACTGAGGACTTTTCGAATGCTATTATTATATGGTTGGTTTTGGGCCAATCTTCAAAGCATGATACAAATTAGGCACTAAATATACTCAAATTTTTATCTCCAGCACGTGGTCCAGTGTATGTTTGTGGCCATAAAGACCATTGGTAATATTGTCCTGGTCACCATGCTCTTAGACTTCATGTTTTCCTGCATCGGAGTGCAGCTCTTCAAGGTGAGACAACCACCGTAATGTGCTTTAAAACCTTGCGTTTTAAAATGGAGGAAGTGACTGTATGCTAAATATATTACCTTTATTTAGGGCAAATTGTACTCTTGTACGGACCCCCTTCAAACGACAGCAGAGGAGTGTCAGTGAGTATTTTTAGCCACATTTCCTTAAATGTTGTGCTTTTCCTTCTGAATGTTGCTGCTGGTATGTATCTAAAACATTGCTTTTGGTTGTTCTTAGGGGAACATTTTTAAAGTATGTGCAAAACTCTCTTCATGACATGGAGGTCCATCAGCGCAAGTGGGTCAACAGCGATTTCAACTTTGACAATGTGCTGAACGGCATACTGGCTCTCTTCACCATCTCCACATTTGAGGGCTGGCCAGAGTGAGTGTGTGAAAATCTCATCCTATTTTTTTTATCTTCTTTTAACATTGTTTCATCAGTCAAGAACATGTTTCACACAAAACCTTCCTTCACTCAACGTCAACAGGATCCTATATAGGGCTATAGACTCAAATGCAGTAGACACAGGCCCTTTGTACAATAACCGGGTGGGCATCTCCATATTCTTTATCATCTACATCATCATCATTGCCTTCTTCATGATGAACATCTTTGTGGGCTTCGTCATCGTCACTTTCCAAAAACAAGGAGAGCAGGAATACAAGAACTGCGAGCTGGACAAGAACCAGGTAACCAGTGTGGTCTTTGATGTTCTTCACATGGAATTTGTGTGTATATTGAACAATAAAAGTTAAACAAAATATCCTTTTTACAGTATACTGTATATCAACTTTTCAAATAGCTGGTTTAACTCTACTTTTATTGTATATACAGTATCTATCAGGTTTATGATGCTAATGCAACTGGGCTTACTGTGCTGTCATTTTATAATCATCTTCTCTTGCCGTCTCACCCCTCACCAGCGTCAGTGTGTACAGTATGCACTGAAAGCACGGCCCCTTAAATGCTACATCCCGAAGAACCCGCACCAGTACCGTGTGTGGTACTTTGTGACCTCCTGTTACTTTGAGTATCTCATGTTCTTTCTCATCATGCTCAACACGCTGTGTCTTGGAATGCAGGTAAGCCATTAAATAGCAGTTACCGTTATTTACAGCTAATGATATTCATCACTACTGTTCAAAAGTTTGGGGTCAGGGAGATTTATTTAAAGAAATTTATACTTTTAAATTAATTCTTTTTTTAATTTTATTTTGCATATATACCGTATTGATTATTTTCCATTATTTCAGTAAATATTATGTAATTTTATTGCTGCATGTAATATTATTTTTCATTAAACTGATATTGCCTTTAATTTGACCATTAAAAACCTTAACATTTACCACTGTTTTCAAGCCAATAAAGTAAAGCTTAATCCCATTCAGTCAGTATGTTAGTCAGAACAGTGTTCAGTCTGTATAATAGTTTATAAAACAATTTCAAAATGGCTGCTTTGTTAATCTGTTGTCTCTCTTCTCTCTGTGGTACAGCACTGCAACCAGTCCGATCACATAACCAAACTATCTGACACTCTCAACCTCATCTTCACTGTCCTGTTCACAGGCGAGATGATCGTCAAACTCATTGCATTCAAAGCAAAGGTACTCCTGCTTCCTCCATATAAAACTGTAAGAAGACGTGCTCTATTTTATGACATTATTGGTATTCTGTGTGTGTCTTGACACAGGGTTACTTTGGAGATCCTTGGAATGTGTTTGATTTCGTCATCGTGATCGGTAGTATTGTTGACGTGGTCCTCAGTGAGGTTGATGTGAGTATGACAATAATTTGAGACTCCACACTTACGTCAAAATATTGTCCGAGTGATTTATATGTTGTGTAAATGTCTCTACAAAAGCGAAAGCATTTTAAATGGCGACCAACAATGGCTTGTATTTTAAACCCGTATTTAGCGATACATGAAGCACAGACCACAGCAAGCAGTCAATGTCAGCATTAGTGCACAGGAGGTACCGATTTCATCAGCTCCAGCTTAGTATTCTTCTCATTCAACCAACTTCACTCATCAGTGGCCATTGATGGGCTCATTTTCATGATTCATTTCACATATGTTAATGAACCACCCTCTTTCCATCTCTCACAGCTGCTTAATACACAACGCTCCACATCTCCAAGAGTGATTTGATGCACTTTTTATTGTCTATATAAATAACCACTTGTTTTGGAAGTGTGATCCATAATTTTGATGTTATGTTGACATTTGTCTCTGATTCACAAGATGCATTTCCGTTTCTATGATCGTCATCTCTCATCCATCACCCTGACTTCTCATCTCTCTGTTCTCAGGCCGCGCTGGAGACCAGTGGAGGACTGTGGTGTCTACATGGTTGTGCTGTAAATATCATTCTGCACTGCATGGGACATACTCTGCTCACATTATCATTTTTTAGAAGCTTAATTGTCCACAAATAAGCATCATACCACATTATGGTGTTGCTATTTTGCTTTATATGATATTATATGCTGCTATTACATTGTATTATATTGCATGACTAATGGAAAAAAGAGTGAAAAGAGTCTATTCTTTTTTCAGGAAGTGAATCCAATGCAGGCAATAGCTGTAAGTACATTATCCTGGTTTGTTTTCTTTTTAAACATTTGAAAAAGAGCAACTTTTAATATTTATAGGTGGAACTAAATATTTATCTCATAAATTTACTCATTTATAGGATGCAGAAAATGTCAGAGTTTCCATCACGTTCTTCCGGCTGTTCCGTGTGCTGCGTCTCATTAAACTGCTCAATCGTTCAGAGGGGATCAGGAACCTTCTGTGGACCTTTATTAAGTCCTTCCAGGTCAGACAAGATAGTTACACATCACATCTCCGTGACAAAAGAAAATGAAATGATTAATAATGGCTAGTTAAGAATATATAAGGATCATATGAATGTATTAATTTAATTTAATTAAATTAAATTAAATTTTAATTTTATTTATTTTTTTATTTTTCATGTTAAGTTAAGTTTTGTTTAATTTTAGTTTAGTTTAGTTTTTTGTTTTAGTTTAGTTTAGTTTAGTTTAGTTTAGATTAGATTAGATTAGATTAGATTAGATTAGATTTAGTTTAGTTTAGTTTTTTATTTTATTTAATTTTTTTATTTAATTTAAAAAAATTATTTAATTTTTATTTTATGTTATGTCAAGTTTTGTTTTGTTTTGTTTTGTTTGTTTCAATTTAATTTAAGTTTAGTTTTGTTTTAATTTAATTTTAGTTTAGTTTAGTTTTTATTTAAGATTAGATTAGATTAGATTAGATTAGATTAGATTAGATTTAGTTTAGTTTAGTTTAGTTTAGTTTAGTTTAGTTTAATTTAATTTTTTTATTTTATTTCATTTTTAAATTGTATTTAATTGTATTAAATTTTTTAATGAAAAGTGCTTTAGCTTTAACTGAATGTATCTTACAGTATATGATGTTGTGTTTCCTGCTTCAGGCACTGCCTCATGTGGGTCTTCTCATTGTCATGCTCTTCTTCATCTATGCTGTCATAGGGATGCAGGTGAGCTTCACTTACCTTGTTTCCTTCATTTGTTTAAATTTCCTGTAGTTGCTCTCATTCTTGTTATCTTATTCTCCAATTCTTTCTTCCTCTCTCTTTCTCCTTCTCTTTATAGATGTTTGGTAAAGTTGCTCTGGTTGATGGTACAGAAATTAACCGCAACAACAACTTCCAAACTTTCCCTCAAGCTGTATTGGTATTGTTCCGGTGAGTCAACAATGTACTGAGAGAAAAAATGTTTTGCTTGTTTGTTCTCTGATAAAAGTAATTCTTTGCAAACTTGAGAGCTCATATAGTGCAACTCTATTTTTAGTCGAATAATCATGTAATTGATGAATGTGTGGGTTCACAGTGTTGCCACTGGAGAGCAGTGGCCTAAAATCATGCTGGCCTCTATGTACGGGAAGCTCTGTGACCCCAAATCAGACTACAGCCCTGGAGAGGAGTATACCTGCGGCTCCAGCATCGCTGTCTTCTACTTCCTCAGCTTTTACATGCTGTGTGCATTTTTGGTAAGCAAATATGAGGATCTTGTAGTTTACACATGGTAAACTTGGAAATCAGATCAGAATACAGGATCCAACATTGCTGTTTGTTTTAGAAACTAAATCATTATCTTCCTGGTAGATTATCAATTTGTTTGTGGCTGTCATTATGGACAATTTTGATTACCTCACTCACGATTGGTCAATCCTTGGCCCACATCACCTGGATGAGTTCAAGAAGATCTGGGCAGAGTATGACCCTGAAGCTACGTGAGTTAAAGCACACAAGGCTCCAATGCCTTGTCATTCATCATCTTATCCTGTAGCTCTGTGCTTCTTAGATATTTATTTTATGATTTGCCCTAAGACATAATAAAGTACACTGCCTTCTGTCCTTATAAAAGGGGACGAATCAAACATCTGGATGTAGTTACTCTCCTGCGGAGGATTCAACCACCGCTGGGTTTTGGTAAATTTTGTCCCCACCGCTCAGCATGTAAGGTAAGACAATTGGCATTTATTTGTATTTTTTTTTTGTTTCTGTTAAAAGTAAACTAGTGTTCAGAAGTTTTGGGATTGGTAAGAAATGTTTATGTTTTTTTTTTAATGCTCACCAAGGCTGCGTTTTATTTGATCAAAAATACAGTAAAAACAGGAATATTGTGAAATATTATTACAATTTAAAACAACTGTTTTGTATTTGAATATATTTTAAAATGTCATTTATTCCTGATGGCAAATCTGAATTTTGAGCAGCCATTACTCTAGTCTTCAGTGTCACATGATCCTTCAGAAATCATTCTAATATGCTGATTTTCTGCTCAAGAAACATTTCATATTGTTATCAACAACAATGTAAACAATACAATTAAAAATTGGAATTTAAAATTTTCATTTAGATCAATTCAGTGCATCCAAGACTTAATTTTAAAAAAGTACTGATCCAAAATTTTTGATCAGTAGTGTATTTCAGTTAATATTTTAAATCTGTATTTGTGAACTTCCACCTCAGCGCCTGATTTCCATGAACATGCCGCTGAACAGCGACGGCACAGTGACCTTCAACGCCACACTCTTCGCATTGGTCAGAACAGCTTTGAAAATCAAAACTGAAGGTGTGTAATTAAGATCAAATTCAATTAGCAGTTTATTTCGCAGCATAGTATTTAATTTAGGTTTTTCTGTTAGGAAACTTTGAGCAGGCCAATGAGGAGCTGAGAGCCATCATTAAGTCAATCTGGAAGAGGACCAGTATGAAGTTGTTGGACCAGGTCATTCCACCCATTGGAGGTGAGATAGCTGCGATGATAGTCATTTATGTTTAAATAACAAGTTTTTTAAATACAATCTCTGTCTGACTGTAATGTCATTTTATTGGCTGTAGAGGATGAAGTCACTGTTGGAAAGTTCTATGCAACCTTCCTGATTCAGGAACACTTCCGCAAGTTTATGAAGCGGCAGGAGGAATACTACGGTTACAGGCCCACCAAGAAGAACGCTGATGAGATTAAGGTGCACTTTATGATAAATGTTTGTAGTTACTATCATAAAAAGGACACTTTTCTAGCAAAATACTAATAAGACTTCCGTCTGACTTTGCAGGCAGGTCTGCGCAGCATCGAGGAGGAAGCAGCACCTGAGCTGCACAGGGCCATCTCAGGTGACCTGATCGCTGAGGATGAGATGGAACGTGCTATGGAGGCCGGAGAGGAGGGCATCTACAGGGTCTGCACTGAAGCATCTTCATAAGGAAATAGATAAATGTAGACTAAGACGTCCATTTAGACTTACAGTCTCTGTGTCTCTATCTATGCAGCGGACAGGAGGTCTGTTTGGACTGAACAGAGACCCCTTCTCCTCTGAGCCCAGCAGCCCTCTCTCCACACAGGTGACCAGCCAGAGGCCCCTGCAGTTTGTGGAGACTCATCTGGAGGATGTAGAGTCACCTCCAGACTCCGTCTTCCTCCCGAACACTGAGTTCTTCCCTGATAACATGCCAGCAACCAACACCAATAACAATGCCAACTTCAGTGAAGAGTGAGTGGATAACTATAATGAAAAATGCACTTAATGTGTATCTGTAAAGGTCACAATGCTCACTTGATGCTGTTTTTAGTATGTCATCCAGGTTTACATTTGAAAGCGAGTCACTGTCAGCTGCTGCAACCAGAAACTATTCATACGAGGACATAAGTGAAAAGAGTAGGTGATCGAGGAAAAAAATGAAATAAAGAATAAACAAATTTATATTTATATATCTTTTTTTTTTCATTAGAAAAATGTTATCTTTTATTAGAAGTCATAAGATTTTTTTCTTTTTAATTGTGATATTGTTTTCAGGTCAATTAAGCATTTTATTAAATTATATACTCAACTCTTTACTGTAATTCAGTCATTTATTTTACATTATTACATTGAAAAAAAACGGATTTACTTTTTTATTAAATGTTATTCATTTTAAATAAATTTGTATTTAAAGGCACTCTAACAAGTTCCACCATATACATTACTGTTCAAAAGTTTGGGGTCAATATAATTTTTTTTTAAAGAAATTAATACTTTTATTTAGCAAGGATGCATTCAATTGATCGAAAGTGACAGTAAAGACATTGTAATGTTACAAAATATTTATATTTCAAATAAATGCTGTTCTTTTGATCTTTGTATTCATCAAAGAATCCTGAAAATGTTTTTACTGTACTGTACTGTACTGTACTGTACTGTAAAGAATAATGACAGCACAACTGTTTAAGAATAATTTGCATATTAGAATGATTTCTGAAGGATCATGTGACAATGAAGACTGGAATAATGACTGCTGAAAATTCAGCTTCACATTACAGGAAAAATCAATTAAAAAAAACATTTTCATTTGTAAAAATATTCTACAATATTACTGTTTTTACTGTATTTTTGATCAAATAAATGTAGCCTTTGTGAGCATAAAAGACTTCTATTATAATCTATCAAGCCATTTATAATAATTTCACCATGTACAGTAATTACAGTCAATTACAGTAATCTACACACTTTATTGTATAAATGACATTATTTCCTGTGCAACCAATAGGAGACTCCAGTTTGTATGTGGGCGGGGCCTCAAGCGCTGATGACAGACGGCTGTCAGATTTCACTGTGAGGACCGATATCACACAGGTGTGGACAGGTGTCACATTTCCTGAGCTAAACACGGTCCAGTGACTACTTGATATTCCTCTCTGACTCCTCCGTGTGTGTCTGACTCTCTCAGTTCCCCTATAACCCCTCATATGGAGCGTCAAAGAACCAGAGAGAAGCAACAGAAGCTTCACCAGCCACCGACAAACTCATTCAGCAGGTAAAATGCCCCAGGCCACATCTCATGTACTTAACATTCATTCCGTACCTTCTCAGGAAAGACTATTGTATAAAATACTATAATAAATACTATGTATTTTGCATGAATCCTCAGGCACTGAGAGACGGTGGTCTAGACTCCTTGGCTGAGGACCCACAGTTTGTATTTGTGACTAGGAAGGAGCTAGCAGAAGCCATTACTATTGGTGTGGAGGATATGGAGGGCATGGCTCAGAGTATTGTTAACGGGCAGAGCGGCAAGGTAACAAAACGTAAACGCCGTCCCATCCCAATTCCACCCGGCACCAAGTCAACCAAACCCAAGGAAAACACTAGTGCGGTGTAGTAACACACTGAGAGACATTCAGCAAATTCATAAGACGTCATCAGCCTAAGTCTTCTGCCATTGTCCAAAATCACTTACTTCAGTTTATGAACAAGTAGTGCACTGGTTGATTTGAAGGGTACTTTTTTTCAAAGTTGGTAAGAGAAATAACATATAAACAAAGGACGCCTGTCTGAACAACGTTACTGCTATTTATATGAAGTCAGGTGATTTTTATTTCTGATGGCTGTTCTGATTTAGGACTTGTTTTTTGGTGACTGAATTTACCAAACATCCTCAATAAATTTGTTCACACTCTGTTCTGTGAACATTTACAGTTGAGTGAGTTACATAACACTTTGTAATCTGTGGACATAGAGCCACAAAGGCAAGTCTTTTCTTTGGTTTGTCTGCCGCGTGTACCTGTGGTTTAAACCTTTTTGTATTTAGTTATAAAATACTGAATGGAAGAATTGTCATCCTAACATCTTGTTTACAAGAAAATATTTGGCCGTTTTTAAAGAAATTTAGAAGAAAAAAAACATACTGTATACATAAAAACATACTGGTCCTAAAAAGAAATTCGATTTTATTTCATTTTTTATCTAATTTAAATGGAAAATCTTTGCATGATTGTGATTGACAGGACAAATACAATATGCAAAACACTTAATTTGTGTTTTTACATTTACTCACTTAGTAAATGCTTTTATCCAAAGTGACTTACAAAAGAGGCAGGAAGGGCTTATAATGTCCGATAAAGGCTTAATGAAATGATTTTTATTTGCAAATTGAAGTACATATTCATGTTTCACATGAGCCTTTACATTCTTCAAAAGAATCTTCCTCAGTGCTCATAATGGGATTGAAAATGAAATGTTGGCCGTTGGCTTATACATGGAGTAACTTCCCCTTTTTTCTGGAGTATGCAAAGGATAAAGGATTGTTTTTTTTTTCATTTACCGGCTTGTATATTTGTTGTATAGTACAGCTGAGATGGATATAGGACAGTGGGGATGGGATCAGTGCGTGACGCAGGCTGGATTTAAATTGTGTCCCCATGAGAATGACTTGTTTTTGTGTGTGCACTACCCACAGCCACTGACACATTTTTTGGGCTAGAGGAGTTTTCTAGGGACATTAGATGTAGACATTTACATGTAAAGCATGCACAGCAAAAATACAGTGCAGATACTTGACTAAAATAACACTGAAACATGTTTTTTTTTTTTAAACTGTTGCTCTAAAAAAGTTTTTCACTGAGCAACAATGTACCTGTTTTTTTCATCTTCTCATTGTAGCAGAAGTCCTCATACAAAATCATTTTGCTTGTGAATTCACTGAATATGGCAAAGTTGCACCTTTTCAGAGTATAGTTGAACTTTAAAAGAATGTGTTGACCGATGCCACAGATAGACGTCTTAAAGCTGTATTTTCTCTTGTATAATGTCTGATCTGTCATTTCTGTTCGGCACATTTCTATATTTCATTGCAAAGTACAACATTTGGGTTGTTTAGATACACACATTTTCACTTTCCACCTCAGCCTGTGTGTGTCTTGCAAATGAATATGTAATGAAGTTAAAAGTCCAATTTAATAAACATGAAAGAGATGTTCACATTTTTCTTGGGATATGGGATTTACAGTCCTCTCTAGTCATTTAGATTCATATTGTGTTATATAAATGATCTGGAAAATATGCAAATAATGTGATAAAAAAATTTATATTAACACTTAAAAAATAAATGATATTCATTCACAGTTTTTCAAATAAGAGCACAGTAATAATCACATTTTAATTTTACTGAATAGCTTTAATATTAATATAACTGTCCTGTGACTATTATTGAGCTTTACATCTATATTAAATTTGCCTGTGGGCACATACAGATGAAGTGCAACTGCAAATAGCACAAAGCAAAAGCTAGTACTTAAATATTATTATTAATATCATGTTTGCTGTAGACAGATGGTGTGATGAGCGGTCTACGGCCAGTGCAGATGTACTACACTGTAGAGAGAGAAACTTGAGAGCAGCTCCAGGTACTATTAATACTGCAACACGTTACAGCTCAAGCCTCTTATGGCATGAAACTGAATCCATAAAGCAGAGATGAGAAGTTCAGACACTGTATTAACTGATGTCACAAATGTAAAAGCAGTAGTTAAATTAAGACTCATTTTTAAAATATCTGAACTCGACAGGCTTCAGTAACAGAAGACATGCAATTACACAGAACTTAATTACAATGAATTTATTTATACAGGATTTTTACTTACATCAACTAAAGTCACAAGGTGTGGTGTTATCAAACATCTTAAGCACGCTTAAAGAAAATACAAAAAAGCTGCTAAATCCCTAAAAGCTGTGGGCCAGTGGGCTGATGGTTCCCACGCTGAAGGATAATGCCTTCAAAGCTCTGATGGGACAAACAGCACATTTCCAGCAGTCCATTTCAATGAAGCACTTCCCCTCAAATGAAGTAATGAGGTTTCTTTACATTTACGCCATACTCTGCCATGGCTGGTGTCAGATCTTCCATTGTCAGCGTGTACTTCTTGTCCTGGGAGGTGAGATGAGAACAGTGTGAATGAGAGAACACATTTTTAATTTGGCCTGCAGATTAAACATTCATTATATAGATTTACTGTATAATATGTTACTGTACTAATCACAGTTTGTGAACACAAACCTTGGTCTTGTTTCGGGAGCTTCCAGAGGCCGTGCCCTTCATTTTGCAGTGCTGTAGTGCATCATTTGCAATATCTGAGATGAACTTCTGAGACGCCAAAGATATGAGACGGATTCTGACAACACACAAGGAGATAAAGACGTCAAGGAAGATTCACGATTCAAGCATTTTTTTAAAACCCTGATGAGTAAATGATACACCAGATATTTTTATTAAGAAATTCAGTGTTTTAATATTGGCCTAATGTATTACCAACAATGCAATACTCCTCATAAGACATAAATGTGTTATTTAAGCCCATTCACAGGACAATAGCTATATAGTTTTAAAAAAATCATTCTACCTCTATTTAATTAAGGACATGGGAATGATATCATTGGTATCTTTTCTAAAGTGATTTTTTTTCCAGCTGATGAATGGTAAAAACATTTAAAAGCTAATCAGACTTAGAGCATTTAAAGTGCCAGACAACAAAACTGTAGGGCACACTTATAAATAACTGTTTATTATATATTATTATAGTATTTATTCACCTTTTTATACTTTCATGTTTTATTTTAAAGTTTTAGTAATTTTATTTTGTGCTTTTGTCATTTTTAGTTTATTTTTTTTCTGTTTAGCTTTAATTGATTTTTATTTCAGTTTTAGATTAAGTAATTTCAGTACTTCGACTCGAACATAATTATTTCAGTTAGTTACCAAAGCAACATTTCTCATTTTTAAGTTTTTAATCTAATATTTATATTTGATTTCAGCCTCATTTCAATTAACAAAATGATTTTTAATAGTTTTAGTTATAGTTTATTTAAAAATACTTTTAAAAACATACTTTTGTAAAAAATAAAAAATTGCTTAAAGAACCTACATTTCAAAGACTGTAAACATTTTTTAGCACCACTACATAATTGCTTTCTGAGAGAACATTGCTCCAACTCACATTCTTGGATCTGATGCTTCAAAACCAGCTCGGTTGAGGTAGTATCCTGTGACTGCGTCTGGGATCTGAAACACAGACAGTCTGTTAACAGTGCTACTCAGAATATACCATCAATAAGCAAAGCATATACAGGACTGCAATCATATGTGGACTGACTGTAGGAGTGTAATCCTCCAGCTGCATCAGGAAATCGGCCAGCGGTGTGGTTGAGATCACGGGCTTCACGTCTCCATTAGCGATGCCTGTGGGCACATACACCCCGTTCGACACGCTGGAGTCGGATGATGGGGTCGCCATGGCTGCCGAAGTGGGAACTGTGAGAAGTACGACAGGACAGACCTTCAGAACTGCACGAATAATAAAGATTACAAGTACACTACTCTCCATATTTACACTTACAGACCAACACTAATGGAGCTAAACGCTAAAAGACAACAGCAACTCTATGCGCGTTCAAACTGTCAAAACAAACAAAAAAACACCCACCATTACTGCTGCCGAGCGCAGGGATGCTGCTGGCGTTTGTGGAGGTGCTGGTCGGGACGCAGTTGCTGCTGCTGCTGCTGCTGCTGCTGGATGCGGCTGCTGCTCCAGTCTGTCCGGTTTGCGGAAGATCCACGTTCATTTTGTCGTGCTTAGCTCGAATATTGCAATAAATTGGGAATACTAGACAAAATGTACGCAGTTGAAACTAAGGAAAAGTTAAGTCGATAATCATTTATGCAGAGAAAACAGCGAAGTCGGGGATCATTCGCTTTAAGCGAAATATTTACGCAGGATGTGTCACGTGATTAACACTTCCGTGTGCAACCAGTACGACAGTCCGGAGAATAGATACATATCCATTCACATCAGAATTGTGAACAATTGTTCCGGGATAGATTTCCGTGTTTCCGTGAACATTTATCCAAGCGTGTTTTCAAGCGCAAAATATCAAGCGCAAACATAAGTGGTCACGTTATATTTTGTAATTTAGAGATAAATAGAGAAAAACATAGTTCATGCGTCGACAGATGAGGTCTGGCAAACAGCTCCACCTAGTGATGGTATTTGGTTACTTGATTTCATACTCATTTACAACGGTGTGAAGGTCATTTACAAAACATTCATTTCGTAAATGGAGTGCTTTACTCATGTGCACTTTAGTATTCAAATGACCCTCTAGTTTATTTAAAAATACTTTTAAAAACATACTTTTGTAAAAAATAAAAAATTGCTTAAAGAACCTACATTTCAAAGACTGTAAACATTTTTTAGCACCACTACATAATTGCTTTCTGAGAGAACATTGCTCCAACTCACATTCTTGGATCTGATGCTTCAAAACCAGCTCGGTTGAGGTAGTATCCTGTGACTGCGTCTGGGATCTGAAACACAGACAGTCTGTTAACAGTGCTACTCAGAATATACCATCAATAAGCAAAGCATATACAGGACTGCAATCATATGTGGACTGACTGTAGGAGTGTAATCCTCCAGCTGCATCAGGAAATCGGCCAGCGGTGTGGTTGAGATCACGGGCTTCACGTCTCCATTAGCGATGCCTGTGGGCACATACACCCCGTTCGACACGCTGGAGTCGGATGATGGGGTCGCCATGGCTGCCGAAGTGGGAACTGTGAGAAGTACGACAGGACAGACCTTCAGAACTGCACGAATAATAAAGATTACAAGTACACTACTCTCCATATTTACACTTACAGACCAACACTAATGGAGCTAAACGCTAAAAGACAACAGCAACTCTATGCGCGTTCAAACTGTCAAAACAAACAAAAAAACACCCACCATTACTGCTGCCGAGCGCAGGGATGCTGCTGGCGTTTGTGGAGGTGCTGTTCGGGACGCAGTTGCTGCTGCTGCTGCTGCTGGATGCGGCTGCTGCTCCAGTCTGTCCGGTTTGCGGAAGATCCACGTTCATTTTGTCGTGCTTAGCTTGAATATTGCAATAAATTGGGAATACTAGACAAAATGTACGCAGTTGAAACTAAGGAAAAGTTAAGTCGATAATCATTTATGCAGAGAAAACAGCGAAGTCGGGGATCATTCACTTTAAGCGAAATATTTACGCAGGATGTGTCACGTGATTAACACTTCCGTGTGCAACCAGTACGACAGTCCGGAGAATAGATACATATCCATTCACATCAGAATTGTGAACAATTGTTCCGGGATAGATTGCGTTTCCGTCAACATTTATCCAAGCGTGTTTTCAAGCGCAAAATATCAAGCGCAAACATAAGTGGTCACGTTATATTTTGTAATTTAGAGATAAATAGAGAAAAACATAGTTCATGCGTCGACAGATGAGGTCTGGCAAACAGCTCCACCTAGTGATGGTATTTGGTTACTTGATTTCATACTCATTTACAACGGTGTGAAGGTCATTTACAAAACATTCATTTCGTAAATGGAGTGCTTTACTGAATTTTACAGTGGAATGTTGCACTAAAATAAGCTTAACAATACAGAAGTGTGAAATCATTTGGCACGACAACAACAGAACAGCTAAATTCTCTCAAAAGGAATGACAGAATGGTTTATGGCTTCTAACAGAACGCAACAGTTGTTTGATTGGTGTCATCAGTCGACTACTCATTCACCAATCAATAACATTAAGACTACTACATTCACCCCTTAACAGCCAATATTTAAAATACCTTTAAATTGAACAGTAGATAACAAAAGAAAAAAGACTATGTGGATGGCTGGAAAGATTGGGAGACAAATAATTATACCCCTGAACTAGTGAGCGAACAAGAACATTTACCAGTGACTCGGAACACAAAAACAAGGAACAACATGAAGCATAGCAATTGCCAACAGTATTGTCTCCATTATAGAAAATACTAAAGGTATTTTGCCTTTACTGATAAGACTGTAATGGAAAAACCTAAGGTATATCGGATACACAGAGAGCCGAATGGAGACAAGACTGTAGGCAACAACATCAACGAGAACAAGACAAAATGCCGTTCCAGCTAAAATGAAGCTGACGCAACGATGGGGAGAATGAACTACAGTAAATATATACACATGTGACTGAAACGGAACAAATCCAATCCAGTGTATTGAGATCAGTGTCTGGCTTCACATTTAAAATAAGCCTGAGAGTGAGAGTGAGAAAAACAGACAACGATAAAACAGATGATTTCAACACCGACATCCGCTAATGAGCACGAACTACATAGGTGTCTCTCTCTCAGGAAGATGAATCTGCATAGATCTCAGAGCATTTCACAGCCTTGCATAGTATCTCTGATTGCAGGGGACTCGGATGACAGACAGACAGACAAAAGTGGATGAGTAAATCAAGGCTGTTGAGGTGGAGGAGGCTATTTGAAGGCTGATTTTAGCTCTTTGAAAGCAGCTTGTCTTGTCTTCCTCTCCTCCGCTTCACGCTTCTTCTCTTCCTGCTCCTGACGGATTTCCGCCTCAAACCGGTTTGATTCGTTAATGGCCTGCACCTGTCAGAGAAAAATATACATTTTGAGGTAATTCTAAATTGAATTTCCTTTTCAGTGGCATTCAATGCAACCTATCTAGGCAGGAAATGACAGTCGTTATTGAAACACAGAGCTGTCATAGACTAAAAGGGGTTTTAAATTATGAATGAATCTGCTGATGGTTAAAAATGTATTTCACTCAGGGGTGGAAAATAGTATTAAATGTCACGATTCTTTACTTTTGCCTCAAAGAATGATTTGGCTCCCTTCACTCCCTCAGTAGACACGTCAATCTCTGACAAACGTGCCAAGACATGAAGCCCGCTGTCCTCCGCCAGCTCTCCTGCTGCTGCTTTTCTGAAGATAAGGAGAAACTAGAGAAAGAAAGAGGAAGGAAGGAATTGAGGTGATTAATGGGGGAATACAAGTAGTTTCCTATAAAGTGTGCAGCTCTTCATTATGTACTTCATTGCTGTGAAATGCAGCCAAATCTGCAAACAAATTCTTTCAACATACTGAAGCATTTACCTCTCTAAAACTGAGTTTGCCATCCAAGTCCTCATCTACTTCTTTGATCATGTTCTTCAGGCCCAGGTGAGTCTGAGGTGCACCGAGTTTCTCCATCATCAGCTTCAGCTCCATCAGATCGATAAAGTTATCTTTCTCGGAATCATACCTACACACACACACACACACACACACACACACACACAACAAGCAACCAAATTATTTAAGTAGAAATATCATGGAAAACAGGACTTCTTTTGAAATAAATGTCCCTGAAAACATTTCTACCCATCTCATCACTGGTGATATTGCTGCAATGTCTACGGTGATCAACAGAGGGCAGTGCGGATGAGTAACTGGGCCCTGGCTAGCAGGGATACCTTATCAACACTATTGTAACATCTATTGTAACATCTTTCACTTAACATACCAACTGTTCAAATTTTCAGCTGATTTCAACTAAAAGAAAATAAATAAATTCACAGACCATTGAGAACTCTCAACAGGTTGTTAGTCTAAATCATTAAAAATACTTTAACCTGGAAAGACGCTACATTTAATTTTATTTGAATGAACACTCCTGAATTTTTGTCCTCCGGAAATATTTTGCAAAGACGTATTTTCAGTGTACTGGAGGTGGCTGAATTATCTACACCAGTGGTACTCAAACACTTTGACCCACTCTTTGCCACCTTGTCTTTACCCAAGACTATATTTGAAGGCCTTCAATCTTAGCTGATATGTACCTCTGGTTCTTGTTGTAAGAAAATGAAAACTAAAATTTTTTTTTATGTTTTACATCTTTATTATTTATAATTATGAATATGGTTAATATAACTATATTTAAATCATTTTAAAACTTACTGAGAAACCCCTGTAAGTTTGCTGAGAACCACTGATCTACACCAAGGTATACACCAGTACAAACCATCTTGTTCATTTGTGTATGATAAATCATGGCGTCTACCCTGACTAATGTACATTATGCTCTGAAACATACAGGAATTAATTCAAGCAGACCTGCCGGCATCAATATCATCATTCAGAGCTGAAGTGTTCAATAACAGTCACCCATTTATTATATCCACTGCTGAGATCATCTTAAATGTTCATCTCTCCTGCATTTTTAATAAACAGCTTATGAGCTGCCAGTCATTTATTGAGTTAATAGCAATCCAAGACACTTGTGTGTACACCTGACAGCATTCAAATTTGTGAACTTTAAACAAAATCTACAGACTAAACAAACTTAAGTTTTATAAATGTTAAAGCATTTCAGTCACTCCTCTTAAAGGGGTCATATGATGCGATTTCAAAAGTTTCCTTTTTGTTACAAGCTCTTGGTGCATAAAGAAGATCTGTAAAGTTGCAAAGACTAAAGTCTCAAATCCAAAGAGATATTCTTTACAAAAAAAAAAAAGTCAACCACACCTACCTAAACCGGCTCGTTCTAATAAGGGATCTAATAAAGGAAGTCGTGGCCTAATGTTACTTCACTTCACTATCTGGGAAGATTTGCATAACGCCGCCCAAATGTTCACAGGACGTTGATCGTATATCTCTCTCACAAACACACACACACACTTCCTGTGGTTCAGCAGAGACATGATCACTAATGGTTTGAAACAAGTGACATTCACACAGGCCAGACCGATCAGATCTGCCTCCTCTTCTTTTGCTTCTGTAATGAGGTGTTAAATTGATCCACAGGTGCATATTTTCTGGTGCAAAGGCCAGAGAACTGTGTGGGTGAGTTACTGTGCAGCAGTGGGCCAATGAGGAATAGTGACTTCCTTTTTCTCTCTCAATCATAATGTATGAGACCACTTCCTCTACATGTACACAAGCAAAAACACACATATTGTCCAAAGATGAGGTTTTATGTTGCCATGGCAACAGGGTCTTTTGATTAAAAGCAGAGGCCAATGTTTGGATGAGACTCTTATCAACCAGTTGAATTAATCCTCTTTCTTCCTTCCTTCTTATCATTTTGTTCTTACTTCTTCCCTAAAAGATATGTTCAATTTGCCTGATAATGCCCTAAGAAGACTTCACATGTGTTTGACATCTTAAGTGATATTAAAATTATTAAATAAAATTAAATAAAAAATTAAAATAAAACAATATTTAGATTAGAGATTTTCAAGTATAAAAACATTAAAATAAGATTAAAATAAGATAGTAAATTAAAATAAAAAAATGAAGAGGTATTTAAAGTAAAATATTTTAAGACTCATTTAAACTCATTTTAAGACTAAATCTATATAAATATTCTGACGATGAGTTTAACTCCGTCATTAACTCCTTCTAGGCAATCCCAGCATGCACCCTGCTCATGAATATGGAGTGTGTGTCCATCTGCCTCAGACCCATGTATGCTGTCTACCAACACAAGACACCCTGCTGATGCCAGCTCTCTCACACACGCATAAAGCTGTATCTCTTCTCATTAACCCTAAAAGTCTAACTGACATCTTCTCATCACTAATTCAAAGGTCAAAAGAGCGTGTTCATGTTCAGGGTCACAAAATCTCTCAAATGAACTCTTCGTGCTGTGGCATCTGACATATCAGGCTAACCTTGATCACAGCGCTCTGAAATGCTGTTTGATGAGGCACTGCCGTTGTGGAGCATCTGAGCCGCTGTAAGGGTCGTGTTTCTCTGTGGATGCTGCTATCCTGGGTTCGGTTGAGGATTACAGTACAGCAGCGGTTAATCATACTAATGTGATTTCAAGGCAAGCAAGATTGAGTTGGCTGTTTGTTTTTGAAAGGCAAAATCAGATCACTTGAGAAACCCGGCAACCAGAGTCCATAGTGGTTTCAAATCAATTAGGGCTGCAACAACTAATCGATAAAATCGATTATTATCGATAATGAAAATAATCGACAACGATTCTCATTATCGATTAGTCGGGTCTGCCCACAGTCACGTCAAATTACAGCACTGAATTACAAAAAGCATCTAAAAATAGTGGAGGAAACAGGTTGAGATGCTGCGGGAGAAGTACGTGAACCAAGCTGCCCAATACATGAGAATTATTTATTTTAAGCTTTAAACTAACTTAATGCATTAGCATATGGCTTGGCCTGTCAGGCAGTTTGACAGATGCGTGTGTGTCCTCAGCGCAAAAACTTTCAGTTTACGGTCATATGCTTAACTGTAAATGTCACAAATTCACGCAAGCATTTCCATTTTTGCATAAAGGCCCACCCTGACAATCTGCGTTAAGTTTAAATCTGAATGAGCGCCGGCGCGCGCACGCGGACAGAGGGATAATTGATATTCAGTGCAAAACATTAATTGTGCTGAAATATTAAATATTACATTTAGGTTTAAAAGTCAACATGTAGTGCATGCATTTTATGAGTAGGAACTGATAACAGCGTGTAATTTTCTGAATATATCTTTTACAGGATAAAGAAATGACAGTAAGACGTGACTGTGGTCAAAGTGAATGTGTGTTCCTGCAGAACATTACTCTTACCTATTGGTTACAACTGAGTTTGTGATTTTATTTGTCTTTATCTTTATTATTATTAAATTTTTAATGTAGAGATTTAAACTATATTCACTATACAGTGCTTAACAAATGTATTAAAACAAAATTTATGTAAGGTTTTTAACAAATTAGGTAAGGTTTGTGCCACTGCTACTCTAAACTAACTGTATTGGTGATTACCAAAATCAGTTTTTAGCTTTCTGTATAGGTTAGTCCTCCCATTTGTGTAAGATCTTTAGTAACAGTAGCAGGCTATTTCTAATGCTATAATATAATTATTGCTGTTGTCTGTGAAAGGCAGAAAAAAATAGTCAAGCAAGTGTTTTTTCCAGATGCCCAATTACAGTCAAAAAGTACCTAAACTTTGCAAGCTGTTATGAAAAGGCATAGGAGGCCATTTTTGTTATGTGAATAAATACTACTTATTTGTTTCAGTTTGTTATTTGCCCAATAAATTACATTAAAATTTTTAGATTTAAACAATTTTTTTGGCAGATTCCTAAAATATTTATGTTTTCTCTTTATTATGACAGGTGGTCTAATAAATTAAGCACTTGTTTTCATAGCATTCAGTTGGCACGTTTGTTTGAAGTGTTTTTTTGTCAAAACAAACAAAAAAGAAAATTGGGCTTTTTTATTTGATTAATCAAAAAAAATAATCGTTAGTTGCAGCCCTAAAATCAATAATTTATGTCTGCATATGCTAGTCTGTTTAAAGGGGTCATATGATGCTGCTAAAAAGAACATTATTTGGTGCAATGAAATGTGTTTATGTGGTAATGACCCCTTTAACAAAAGAAAGGTCAAGCATGCTCAGTGCAACATGGTGAATTATGATCTCATGGTTTATCAATAAATTCTCTTTGTAAAGGGGAATCTGCATAAACAAAAATCTCATTGCAAAACCACATCACCTAATAATTTTCAAGTGGCCTTGGTTCCAAAGGTAGCTATACAAAAGTTGGGGTTTTTAGGATTTGTATTAATTTTTTTTAGAAGAAATTAATACTTTTATTCAGCAAGGAAGGATGCATTTGATTGATTAAAACACAGTAAAGGCCAGATTAAAATCAAGATCAGGTGGTTAAAAAAGTATTGACAGTTTCTGACTATATCTGACTCCATCTACTCTTATCTGTAGGGTCGGAGATATTTCACAGATTATGAAAAGCTCTCAAGTGCTAAAAACCCAGTAACACTTCAGTTGGTTGCATCGATTGGGGACACTTCCGCCTTATTCTTACCAAACACAGCTGACATAATAATGTTTAAGTGTCTATATGGAAATGCAATGCAGTTGCTGTCCGAAAAGTCGAAATTTCCCCCTTTTTTGTCACAATGTGCACTTGAGGAAGATCACATTTTTTGCCCAAATAAGTCTTTAAGTTTAACATTTCACACTACAGAGATTAAGGAAGCAAATGCAATAGGCACTTCCTAATAATAACCAAGAGAGGTACAGTCAAAGCCTTGAGCTGATACAGACTTCCTTCTGCCTTAGCAAAAAGGTTTGACTCATCTGATTGGCTTTAATGAAAGCTGGATTTGAACTCCGAGTCAATTCAGTTGCTGTTGTTGGAACAAAATCAAGTTTGTTGAGTAATTATAAAGAAAGTCAAAATAAGGAACAAGAAAGCTAGTTTGTAACTACGTTTGTGCTCTGTACT